CAACACAGTAGGTCTGTTTCTCTAAGTGTATAATGCAAACTATTGTGAGATCAAAATTTTTTTTTTAATGGACCATGAATATTTGACAAAATAACTAAAATTGTATCTGTCGCAGAAATTCAATAATTAGAACGGATTTTCCTTTGTAAAAGTTTAATATATAATTTAAATTTCATTTCGATCGATTTAGATTAAGAAATCTGTATGTAAATAGAAACATATTCATACCAAATTTATTATCTCACTAAATGAAATTAGCGAAGATATTAGCCTTTGTATAACAATATCTTTAAGTAATTACTAATTAATCAATTGCATTAAATAATCAATTGCATTTAATTAAAAATATATTGGGACATTTAATTGAAAATAAATCTCAGTTTATTCAGTATTTTTATTTATTTTAATAAAACTCCACACAAAATTGACAGTTTGCAACTTGAGATCTAATCCATTGTTAAGCTAGTATCGCAAATAAACTGATATCTATATATATATATATACATATATATATATATATAAATATTTTGTATTATATTGTCCCTTTAATCAAAAATACATGTCGTTTAATGAATCTCTTTTTGTTTGGTTGTCTAATGCGATTTAGATCTGTTATGCTATGGCTATGAATTGCTTTATAAATAGTGATAATAAAATTTTAGTTTGATTCTCACGTTTTCTAGCGATAAGAGATAAAATATTTTTATTTAACATCAAATACTCACAGATTATTTTCTCTAATCAGAAGTCAGTTCAACAAAAAAAAAATTTCTAATCTTAACACCAATAAATATGTATTTTGTATAACGTGTAAATATATACAAAAAAAAAAATATATATATATATATTTACATTTTTATTTGTAATTAGTTTATTTTCTCTATCTTTATATAAATAAAATATAAAAACAACTTACAAAAATTTGCAGACAAAAGCAATTATAACTTAAATAAATTATTAATGAAAAGAACTTATCGGAAGATAAAACCTCGTATCTACTTAATGAAATTATAATTAATAATATCGTGATCGGGATGCTATCGCATTTAATATTAAAATTTATGAGAAGTGTAATTAGTTATTATCATGTAGATGAGTCAAATATGTCATAACAATTCACACTTATTTTTGGATATGAAAAATTTATTGCGCTCTGGTCATGACTTCAGAGAATACTTATCATATAAACCGCTAATATGTCACAGAAACTCATTAAACGTTTATTATTATTTTATTAATAAATAATAATGATATATTAAAATTCCAAAATATGTTTTACTTAAAAATGATATCACATTGAAAAGTAAACTGTGCTGTGATAAATACAGATAAGACTTAAAAGATTAGATTTAGATAAAAATAAATTCATAAAAATAAAAAATTGCATTAATAGTGGCAGTTATGAAATGAAAAAAAGTGTCTAATCGATAAAAATCTGGAGATATTTTTTAAATATAATAACGACGTTGTGGAGTATACTATTTAGCAAACCTAATAAATTGGGGGATAGAAAAGTTATATCAAAAGATTTGTATTTCAGTACAAAATATTTTTCAAATGAATCTCCATTCCATATTTTGACTATATATGATTTATAATACATATTAAGCAATTTGCATGTTAAGATTCTGAATAATTTTGAATAAGTATTTCATATATTTTTAAGAAATATATATAAAAATGTAATATGAGTATTAAAAGATAGATTTATTGTAAAATTGGTGATTCTGGACTTCAGATTTTAGGCAATAGCTTGTCTGAAAGTGGATGATAATTTTAACAGGAATATATACATACATATATATATGTATATTAGATAATCAAGCTACTTAAAAGCTTTTGCACTACTTTAGGGGCCTCCTCTTTGAGGATCTTGATGAACTACAAGATCTCCCAATAAGCTTTGCCACTGGTTTCAGGTGGTTTCAAACCCTGAATTTTTTCATTATATGGTATTAAAAAAATTGTATAATCATTATAACGTTTACTAATTATATAAAGATTTATTCATATATGCCTGTTTGCATATATAAACTAATTTTTAAATAAAGTTTTTGATAATTTCATTCTTAAAACACATGTACAATATATTTATATCATATCAATAATGATAATCTAAATGCCTCGGTGTCTAGAGTCTTTTAATAGGTACTCTTAAGTCAATCAAAATTATCTACTTATAGATTTAATAGGTTGTCAAAGATTAAGTTAGATTGATAAAAGATTGATACAAAAAACAAAAAACCATATGAAAAGTAATATGCACTTAGCATAAAAATGAAACTATTTATGATTTATATTAAGAGTTTACTACTCGGTCGAAAATAGTAGTTTAAATTTAAAACTCAGAATTTAAATTTAAAACTCAGAATTTAAATTTAAAACTATATAAACTTATAGACCATAAAAAATACTTTTTTGTTGGCACCATTAATGTAACTACATTGTTGCCATGTATTTAAATTAATTAAATCAGAATCAAACTACCAGGCATATATAAACTGACACATCTAATACAACTGTTATGGTAAATAAGATATACTGGTTTAAAAACATAATATTTAAACAATACAATATAAAAAAACAAAACAAGTATATTTAGGCACTGTGCTAGAAGGCAGGACTAATACTTTCAACACTTATACTTTGAAGCAAGAACAATTTTTTTTAAATTATCTAAGGTTACTATATCTTCGTCGATTTAGTAAAATGGTGAGGGATATATAAATATATATCAAATTTTTATTTATTTTTTTACTAAATTTTTTACTATACTGTGAATTTTGGAACAAAGTCTATCAACGTAATATTAATTATAGTAAATTATTTGTTTCTTTCTTCATTGTATACGATTAAGATGCAAATTGTACTAATATTATACATATATGTTATATTAGAAAAAAGAATTTTAATTATAAAAAAAATTGCAACTTATTAAAAATGTAATGTGATAAAGAAGCAATGATGGTGTTATATGTCAAAAGTGCGCGTTTTGTAATCAATATTAATCAATTAATCATAATCTTATATTAATCAATTTAATAGCAATATTAAATTATATTTTCTTTACAAAATATTTATTGCAACTGGCAGTCACTATTTTCAAAATATAGGCACCTACAGAATATGTTATGTACACTTCATAATGTAAGTTAAATATTTATTACTTAAACTAATGAACTTTTATACTTCACACACTACAGTGAGTTATGTTATATTAAGTTCGTTAAGATGTTTGTAACATATAATGAAAAAATTTTTGTAAATTATTTAAATGTCATATATTTCATTAATCAGCTTGGTGAGATAAATATAAATAGATACAGTGCCTATTTAACATATTTCTAAGTCGGAAAGGTAGTAAATAAATTTTTAATTCTATCGATGTAGATACCCAGATTTCCTTTCAACGTTTGCGCACTGTAACTGGCGCACGACCTAGCAGAGGTCTCATGTATCTCGAAAATCTAATTACCGCTCCATCATAAAAAAAATATTAAGAATTACTTTATATTTCATTTATTAAATTAACACAAAAAAAATATTTTAATAATACCTAAAACAATTTTTAAATAAATCATAAAACACTGAAGAGCATTATAACTGCACTATTTTTTCGTAGGGTACTGAAATAACGGCAAAGCCTCAGGTTTTTCTATTGTTTTTAAGTAATAAATTAACACGATTGTTTTGGGTTATGACAAAGTGAACTACTCCCAACATTTCTAATATTTGTTTAAATGAAACTCAATCTTGAAACAACAACTGATGCTCATAGAACTAAAAAAACTATTTACAACCCGTAAACGTAAACAGAAAAAAAATAGAGAATAAGTAAGTCACTTAATAATCTAATCACAAGCCTCGCACATTGTGGTGATAAGCCGCGCTGAGGAGGTAAAAATTTAATTGCAAATTTTATTATTAAAATTTAAATTTATTCTAAAAATAAATAAAAATAACTTTTTAAACAAAGCAAGGTGAAAAATGCGAAATTTGCAATGTATGGAATTTAGTTGCGAATTAGAGTCTAAACTATTAGGTTGATAGTACGGAATAGAATTTAAAAAATATTATATAGCGTGAGCTATGGAGTATCTAAGTGCGGAGTGTGCTGCTCGATCAGCAGGACCGGCAAATACTTTGATGACATTATTACTTCAAACTTTGATAACAAAATTTTGTGCTTTAAGTGATGGCAATCGATGGCCCGAGGATCACGGCAATCGGATCGAAAAAGAGGGTAAGGAAAAATTGTGTAATTTTATTAAAAGCGAATATTGTCTTATATTTGTTATATATTTATTTATACGTATATATATATATATCACTGTTTAGAATACATTGTTACTCTTTTAGATACTATTTCATATTTTATATATATATATTGTATAATTGCTTCAGTTTAAAAACAATTAATATTTTGTGATTCAAAAATATGTAAAATATTTTTAAATAACATTATAAAGCTTAATAATCTCCGGCAATTAATTTTATATTTAAATATAATAATATAAAAACGATAGAATTTTTTTTTTAAATATTCCAAGTGCACGTCGTCTTATATTACAAAATCTGAATACTTTTTGAACTGAAGTTTATAAAAAAATTATTTTATATAGCTGTACATTACGAGTATACCATTTTGTCGTGAAAATATATCAAACATTTAAAAATAATTTTATTTTGTACAAGTAAAATCTATTTATTTTTTAAAACAAAATAATAATGACGAAAACAAACTAGAACGGTTTGAACAGTAATGAACAAGCAACAACAAAAATTTGATAAATTTATAGAAATTTGAACTGACTATACAACGTTCTTTTGAAGTTTGTCAAATATCATCATCAGAGAATATTTCCTAAGGTCATTGAGAATCAATACTTGGCAACACTCGAAACAGCCTTGTATGGTCAGCCAAATTTCAATATATTAAACAAATTTTTGCCGTTACTTCTTCATTAGTGTTCGAACCTTTTTCATTTAATTTAATTTAAATAAATTAATTGATTTTTCTCATTAACAGGATTAGGTACTTATGATTTCGTAGTAATTGGCTCTGGTACAGCTGGATCAGTTGTAGCAGGACGTTTAAGTGAAAATCCTCAATGGAATGTGTTATTACTGGAAGCTGGTGGCGATCCTCCTATTGAAACAGAGGTAACTACATATTTTAATTTAAATACAAACTAACATTAATCAAATAATCTTATCTATAAAAGTTTGTAGGTTGGCATATGGCAACACAATTCTCAAACTGGGATTGGCAATATCACACCGAACCAAATGGTAAAGCTTGCATGGCTATGCAAGGCGAAAGTTGTCATTGGCCGCGTGGCAAAATGTTAGGTGGAACAAATGGTATGAATGCTATGATCTATGCACGTGGTACGCGTGCAGATTTTGATGATTGGCGTGATCGTGGTAATCCAACTTGGGGTTATGACGATGTGCTACCATATTTTCGTAAAGCTGAAGACTTACGTTCCGAACGCGACGACTATACTCCAGGTGATCACGGTAAAGGTGGACCTATGGGCATAAATAATTATGTTTCGGATAATGCATTTCGACCAATCATACGTGAAGCAATGCACGAAATGGGTTATAATAGTGCTGCTGATTTCACAGAAGGTTCCTGGGTGGGACAGATTGATATATTGGGCACACAAGATGGCGGTAGACGTATAACTACAGCGAAATCGCATTTAGATAGCAACCGTAAAAATTTGCATGTTATACGACAGGCACATGTGAAACGTGTAAATTTCAATGCTGAAAAGAAAGCAACTGGGGTTACTTTCATGCTTAATGGCAAACGGGAATACACAGTACAAGTGAGCAAGGAAATAGTGCTGTCAGCTGGTGCAATAGGCACACCACAAATTTTAATGTTATCAGGTTAAAAATAACAATACAATTAAGTTTTCTTATAAGTTTTAAACCCATATGCGTTTACAGGTGTGGGTCCAACTGCACACTTAAAGAAACATGGCATACCAACCATGTTGGATCTTGCTGTAGGACAAAACCTAAAAGATCATGCCAGTTTACCAGTTGTTTTTCAAATCGATAAGTCTACTGCAAGAAAACCCACTGAAGAAGAATTGGTAGATGCTATGTATAATTTACTAATGGGTCGGCATAGTAAATTATTGCATCACGAAGCCACATCATTAACTGGTTTCATTAACACTACTTCAAAGACCGGACCAAATCCTGATATACAAACAACTAATTTCTATAGCTTAATGCAGAGTCCTGAATTGAAAGGTTATGTTGCTGCCACCGGTTTTAATGAACGCGTTGCAAAATCTATTTTGGCGGCAAATCAACTATCAAATACTTATATCACATATCTGCTGCATTTGAAACCCTTCTCTTTTGGTCATATTGAGTTAACCAGCGCTAATTACTTGGATAAACCGAAAATCTATGCAAATTATATGTCTGATAAACGTGATATAGATACTTATGTACGCGCCTTAAAGATATATAGTAAATTACCGGAAACGAAGGCTTTTAAGATACGTGAAGCTGCTCTACATAAAGTAGATTTGGAAGCTTGCAATTCTTTAGTTTTTCAATCAGACGACTATTGGCGTTGTTATATTAGACACATGACTACTACCGTATATCATCCGGTTGGAACTACTAAAATGGGTCCAGTGACTGATTCACAAGCTGTTGTAGACTGGCGTTTACGTGTGCATGGTGCACAAAACTTAAGAGTTATCGATGCTAGCATTATGCCGGACATTGTTGCAGCTAATACTAATGCTGCCATCATTATGATTGGCGAGAAAGGTGCTGAGATGATAAAGGAAGATTGGGAGCAGAATGGTGCTCGCAAAAATACTCACAATGAATTGTAAAATGTTTCCTATTTAGTTTTATTTTTTAGTAAAAAAAAAAAATTTTTTTTATAACTTTTGGAAAGGTTAAGAAATATATAAAAATATAAATGTAAAAATTATTAAAATTTATGACTATTTTAGTTAATAGAGACTATTGTGTTTAATAGAGAGGTTTCGAGTGAGGTTGTAGTGACTGGCAACAACATAAAAATTTTATTTTTATTATTTTAATTAATTGAAAAAAATTTTGTTTGTTGTAATTCACTACTGTTGAAAACCTCTCTGAAATATTTTAGAGTATATTGCGTACATACAATATATAATATACTATATATAAAGCTGATTTGAAGTATATAAGTTAAAATAGACACATAAGAATAATGTTATTCCAAATTTTGTTCCTATTGGATGAAATATTTATTCTATTATATATTATTTTTAATTCTATGCTCTGTTTAGGGAGCATTGCGAAATAATTTACGATATTCATTTGAGGGAACCGACTTTAATGAATAATGTTGATTTTTACAAAGCAAATACATTTGTATGTATTTAGTATAACATTCTCTTAAATTAAATGCAGTATGTATTTCGTCAGAAAGATATACTGGGCTTCAAAGTATACTTCTATATAATTATCTGAATAATTTATTATCAGAATTCAATGAAGTTTTTATTACAGTGGATCATTCAAATGGTTATAGACACTATTGAGTAAAAGTGTTTTAGACACTAACTAAGGTTCGATAAAGTAAAAAAGATGAAGATGAATGAAGGTAAACTCAATAACTTATTTTTTTTATTTCTATATATTAATTTGTTAACATCAACGGTTAAATTATTATATTTTATATAAGTTACAATTAACAGATTTTATTATCTAAAATTTTCTTTGGTGTTAGTTACATATTTAACGACACTGCACAGTTGGAAAGTGTTTGTGACCAGTCACTTGGTTTTTAGCTTCGATAAGTACCCAATACCCCGTTCACATAAATACAGTACCTTTTAAACTGTTTTTAATTTCAACGATTTTACATCACAGGCAAATTTAACTGTATAAAGAACATGGCAACACTAGTCATTTAAATTATTCTACATGATAGCAAATTATACATGAAAAATATAGAATATAAAGAAATATAAATAAATTAATTATTCTAAATTCGGTCAGTATAAACTGTATATATTTTTATTACAATCGCCACAAATTGCATATTGCCAATTATAAGAACATTAATTATAGATGTTTTATCCATCCTGGGGACAAATTTATTACTTCTTATAACATAATGTCCTTATAACGCCGTCAAAGATCAAAAAACATCGTTATAAAGAACTAATAAAACTAAAAATTATGAAACAGGTTTTAAAGGCTTTCGTAGTTATTAACGAGATATTATAGTTTTCGCTGAGATTAACAATAATTGTTTTAATATGTATAATTTAATTTAATATATATATTTATAATTCTCAATTACTTCCTTATTTTATATCAATATAATTCCAACTGAAACGTGGTGATGTTTGAATTGAGTTTAATATAAGATTAAGTATTTTAGTATTTAAGTGTGAATCGTTTATCTTCTTTTTCCTCGTTAATTGGAATAGTAATTATATTGATGTTATTTTGTTGATTTTAAGCCGTTGTGAAGTAAAAAAATTCGAATGTGGAGAAATTAAACCCGATTGGTTTAATTTATCATGTCAAATTTAGTTGAAAATAAAAACTGTAAGCATATTCTGAGGAATAGCAAAACAAAAATCTTTGAACTATTCCCAGATATTGTAAAATATTCAATCAAATAGTTTATCAACATTATTTGATTTGTTGGTAGATCTTTAATATTATAAATTTTAAATTTAATAAAATCTGCAAATACAATTGATACAGACTAAATGTTAAATATTAGATAACTAAATACTGTTCTAAAATATAAATTTTTCTTTTACAGCTAAAACTACCCCACCGTAGAACTTCAAGGAAAACACTCAACAGAAAGTAGAACAAAATTGAAGACGCATCCTAGCCCAAGGATATTATCAGCATAAACGATCAAATAGTACGACTTGAAGATTAAGGCTGATATTTGTGCATTTAATTTCAATTTCTATCTAATAAATAGCGTATTAAGTTCTATAAGACTATATGAATCAAAACACTTTGAGTGTAGGCAGTGACAATACACGGTAGGCAGTTAATTTTTATAAGTAGTTAAGCAGTAGAGCACTAGAGCACTAGTTATCAAATCTTCTAATAAAGGTAAATAGAAGAATGCGTATTGGAGAAGATTTCTTAGGTCGTTTATAAGATAAAACTTTTTGAATGGGCGGTGTTGAGAAGTTTTATAAATAGTTGGACTAAATAGTGCTAGTCATCAAATTTATTACTAAAGGTAAGAATTGTATAAGAAATAATATTAGGTCGTTTATAAAATCTGCAACGAAATTAATTATGAAATATAGTTATGGAATCAAAGAAAATAAATAGATAGCAAGTCAAGTGTTTAAGATAACTCTTGATATATATATATATATAGTTGTGACATATAGAGAAATAAATTTGGATTTCATGTGAAAATTAAGTGGTTAAGGTATTATAAAAAAACTTCTAGCAAACCAAATCATCAAGAGAGGGAACATCTTCAACCAAGAGCTATACGATACCGTAATGGACTCATTGCGCGATATATGTGGAAACTCGTTCTTGAACTTAACTTAACCTAAATGGAATAGTGTATTTCAGTAAAAAGTATAACGACACTACAAATAAATACTTTGTAAAACCGATTTTAGTTATTTTTTCGTATGTAATTTGTTATTGCTTCTAAATGAAATTGACTATAACATGATCTATAACAAGCAACTTTAAATCTAGAATTATTTTTGACTATGAAAATAATTGCTAGAACATAGTAACAGCAATTCAAACCCTGACTAGAACATATGTTAGAGAAGTGCTTTAATACTATCTAGTGGTATGATAGGTAGTTTTACCTATTCAATGATATTACTGATGATAATATCTTTTAGGAGCAAATACGGTTCCCAAGTAAGATGTAACAAACAGGTATCAAAAAGAAAAAATTATAATAATTAAATTAAGAAAGTCTCAGTCCAAACTGGCAGTCATTAAAGTTCAAAAACTGGATAAAAATTTAATGAAAATCTGCGAAGTGTTATATAAGTGCCATTTATATATATAACAAAATAATGAAAATAATAAATATTTGTTAGTTATTTTCTAACTAGTTTATTAAATATTATGATTATAAAATATGATTTAATGTGTCGTCAAATGCAAAGGTCGGCAATAAAAGTGAAATGCTCCGACCAAATTAGAGTATCAACTGTAAATTTATCAACTTAAGTTTCTCATATTTGTTTATTAACACATTTTAATGTACGTGGAGTAATGATAAGTGCTCATTAAAATACCGATTTTCGGCTTGGTACCGCATTAGACCATTCCACTGCCCAAAGGTGAAACTTTCTCTTTAACTAAACACCGTCGACGACGCATTAAAGAAGTGACTTAATTGAAAATTATTTTCGGCTGTCAAAAAGTTGATTGAATTGAATTTGTCATTAAACAGCAAAAATATTAAATATCAGGTGACAACAACAAAGTTAATTGTTAACACACAAAAAAAAAAAAATTCAAATAATTCAAATAATAATTTTACATTTAAATTAATTACAAATAAATTCGCATTCGAATAATGCAAAAAATCGTGTGAATATGACTGGATATTTTTTTTTTTGCTATATGATTTTATTTGGGTTTGCTTTAATTTCTTATTGATTTTGGGGATTTTGAATTTTAATTTGCAATGATATCGAATCAATTGTAGTAGGAAACAATCTAGCGTACAAAATTGTATCTTTGTTTGGTTGTTTGTTATTTTTTGAATTTGGTTTTTTTTAATGAAGTCTATTTAATATTCGAATTTATTGCTTGAAGGTATCAAGTACACTTAAATATGTTTCTCAATTGACTAACTTTTTAATGACTTGCGCTTACATAGGCTGGAAATGACTTGAAGTACCCATATAAAAGAAGCAGCCATGTTCAAAATTAAGTGAATAAAAGTATGTAAACAACGGTAAAAAAAAAAATTTAACGGTAAAAATATTTTGCAAAGGTAGTTATGCAATCAATATTAAAAAATTTTAAAGTTGATTTAAATTGCCAGAAGTAACAAGTTTCAAAATAGAGAGCGTTGTGATTATTGACCGGGAAACACCTTGACAAGTGATGCACTTTGCAAAGACTTGTATAATTTTGTTAGGAAACACAAAAAGTACTTAATCCTTTCAAATTTAATATACTAATGTTTAATCAATTATTTAATGAATGGTATAAATGTATTAAAGGTAGTACGTGGGCTTATAGTATGTTTCCAAAGCCTTCGTAAAAGCAATTTATTTGATCTATGTCGCTAATGAGATATGATTAAACATACAAAGGGCTTTCCTGCATTTTAACTTATAGCACATTTACACTATCTCATTTCATTATGGCCACTAATAAGGATGATTTAAGATACCATAAAAAGAGCTTTGATAAAAATGAGCTCATTATCAATCAATCAGTTCATTTAAGGAGAAAAATGTCGAATGCAACCATCAAAAATAGTAAATGTCTTAGCAATCAAGGAAATAGCCATTTAACTAAATAAATATGAGGCAACTAAGACGATAATAAACATACACATGGATAGTCTGGCGAACATCAAATTGATGAAATCAGTAACAGTAAGATTAAAGATTGCTCAGGATTTCTTGGCAGCTCTAAAGTGCCAGGGTAGGCTTAATATGGGTTCTGGTGATATGTGTAATGTGTACGCACTCTTGTGTGCTGATTCATTAGCACCGTTACTCGTTAACGAAAAGACTTATGAATCATTTCTGTGGCGAATGTAAATGCGTATAAATAGTGCATGAGAAAAATATTTATACGTATTTATGTTGGTTTTTTATAAGTGTACTATAATTGTTGAAATTATGACATGTTGCAGTTCTCTGACACACATCCATATAAAAAGTCTTATGATATTATTTACAGTAGTAGCGTATATGCGTTACTACATATATTGGCATCGC